GTGTGTGTGTGTGTGTGTGTTTTTGTGTGGTGGGGTTTTGAAGGGGATAAAGTAAAATTTGTGTTCATTCATAGTGTGCATAATGATTGTGCCAGTGAATGTACATGTGAGGCTATGTAAGTCCTTAAAAGGGGAACTGAGTAGAGAAGTACTCATAATCCCAATTCCTTTTAACTAGATCTTATGTGGCAATGTTAGTGTAGTGGTTAGGTTACCGCACTCGTAATCGTCAGGTTGCGAGTTCGGGGATTCAAGCCGCTTGCCCGATATTGTGTCCCTGGGAAAGGCATTTTACACAAATTTGCACAAATTTTTCCTCACTTCACCCAGGTGGGAATGGGTACTGGCTATAGACAGCAAAAGATCTTGTCAGTATGTTAGTGTTTTATCACCTATTTGGCAGGTGACTCTATATATTTCCCAAGAAGTTGAGTTTGTTTCAGAATGCTGTCAGGTCTGCTGGGGTAATAGTATAGAATGTAAAGCGCATAGAGCTTGCTGTTGGCTGGGAATTTGCACTATGCTAATACTATCTATTATTATTATTATTATGTTTACTTGGTGTTGTAGTATTTACCTCCACTCGGCGTGTCGTTCACGAAGTTTCCCTTACGTTCCCGTGCGCAATACAACTCCGCGACCGCTAGTGACATTGTTCTTCCCTTGCCAGGAGTTGACAGGTTGTCAGTAATTTAAAAAGCCAACACATATGTTAATGCTACATTTGGCACCAGTTTTTTTGTTTAAGTTGAGTAATCTCACAAGCATACATTTCTGACCCACTGTGTCTGCAGCTCTAGTGACGTGCCCCAGAGGCTGGAACCTGTACGCTGCAGCCCCCATTTGTATCAAGTTGTATACACAGCTCAAAAGCTGGGTGGATGCCAGGAGTACATGCCAGCAGGTGGGAGGTGACCTTGTTAAGATCTCAAATGGTGGAATTAATGGATTTGTCGACGGTGAGCCTTTATATTTGTGGTGTTGTCAGAAAATCAGGTGCTCATCAAAATAATGAAGTTGAAGAAAGCAACATTTTTTTCCTCCCATAGGATAATTTGTTATTGACTTTTGTTTTAAATTTTTTGGAGGGAGGGGGTTGTTTAGAGGTGGGGGGGGGGGGGGGGGCTCCACACATTTAATGCCCATTAAAAAAGACATTTCTGTGTTCAGTTTACTGAAGAAGGTTGATCAAAAGTTCAAAAGATGTACATTTCTAGTTTTTAAGTATTCTCAAGCTTTAGATGTCATTAAACTATAGCTGCCTTTTTCTCACTAATTTTACTTTTGACGGCAGGCAATCCTTTTTACCTCCTTCGATCGCTCATATCTCAGCTTCTATTCAAGATAAATTGGCTTTTATTTTTTTTTAATTAGAGACAAGACAAAGTATTTACTGGGTTTAAAGTAAAACTTAAACAATGTCTTTAATGATAGTAAGTCCTCTGGTATGTCTGTTTTTGTCAAGATTTAATATATTTTGAATCCCTCATTAGTAGTCCCTATAAAGTTGTGCAATTTTGGATAAGTGAACTGTATTGGGCATCATGGTGAAACCAGACACTTGTTTGAAAAAGGAAAGCTTTTTGGGGTAATTTTTATGGGATAAAAAAAAATGTTTTTTAGCTCAACACCTTTTAAAAACACATTTCTGTGTAGATTTTACTCAAAAACATTGATCAAAGACATTGAAAAAAGTAAATTTTGCAAGTAACGAGCATCTCAAGCTTTGGAAACAATCATCAAAGTACTGACATTATGTGTATTGTGTTGCGTGTTTGTGTGTTTATGTCCATATATATCTAACTGTGTGTCTTTCTACCTATCAACATGTCTACCGGTCAATGTTTCTGTTCATCTATTTACCCATCTATTAATTCATCATGTCCTTCTTCATATCTGATTGCCTTCCTATTTATCTTTCAGGTTTGGTGGACCAGCAGAAGGATACATATTGGATTGGATTGCACGATCGACATCAGGAAAATATGTTTGAATGGTTGGATGAAGATGTCAAGGTAAACCGTTTAGATTTCGTTAAGGTATACTTGATTCTTTTTTTGGAAGCACAACATGATTAGATTTATTTATTGATGTGGGTTTCAAGGCTGCAAAACAGGCACGGTTTGTCCATAGAGCACGGTCGTGCAGTGCCGTCCAAAATTCTTTAATGTTCTACTATGTAAAGCACCCACAATAGTAAAATTAAAGAAGCCAGTAAACTTTTACCAAGTACCTTTCTAAAACCTTGCTGTCATAATTAATAGTAAAACACAACACTACTCTTATATTTATTTTTATTTTGTACAAATGTAGAAGATAGACTACTGGTGACAAAATAAGATGAATTAAAAAGATCAGGGTTTTTTTTACCTATTTTTAGTTTTATTTTAAAAAATCTCTCTCTCTCTCTCTCTCTCTCTCTCTCTCTCTCTCTCTCTCTCTCTCTCTCTCTCTCTTTCATGGCAAAGGCAAAAAGCTGCCTGGGGTTTCCTTTTAGCGACTTTTCCAGTTGTTTTTTTCCCCTGTCGATTCTTCGTTTGTTTTTCCTGAGAAGGTATTTGAGCAGCCCCGGATTTTGGTGCTGAGGCATCATTTTGGGACAAAATCTGTGTGGATTTGTTGGGCCCGCTGAACATTTTATATAAATTAAGAGCATTGTTGATCTCCTGTTTCCTTTCTCATAACTGTAGACAAATTTCACTTACTGGGCCCCTCATGAGCCGGGTAACTCCGGTGGAAACGAAAACTGTGTACAGATCGCAGCTCACCGACAGAATCAGTGGAACGACGGCATATGCGATCACAAACATCGCTTCATATGTCAAGCCCCCACTGGTGTGTACTTTTGTTTCACCAGCAAAGATGAATGCTTTGTGGCAGCTGCTTTCAGAGATATTTGTTTCAAGACATGGTGAAACCAGGCACTCGTTTTTGTGCTTGTGGAGTTATTGATAATATCTGAAAGCGTATTCATTTTTTTTGCTTTCAGTGGTAAAATATCCATCTAGAGTGAATAGAAGTTATTTGTGATTAAAGAAGGTTGGGTAGCCTGGTATCGAGTGGTTAAATTAATGAGAAAATGGCTGCCAAAGTTTGGTAGCTTCAATAGCTTTTAAGAGTCCTTGAAAACTGAAAATTACTTATTTTGTGTCTTTAGACAAGGTTTTTCAGTAAAATTCAAATGGAAATGTGTTTTCATATGAACATAAATGGTGTTTAGCCAAAAAACAAAATTTCAATATAAATTGCCAAACTTGTTGAAAATGCCTTTTTCTTTGATTTCACCATTTTGACGAGCGCCTAATTTTATCAAGATACCTCACATTTGTGCTGAACCGCAAGCTGTATCTCCTTATTAAGTACCTTTGTGCTTAGTGCTTTGCCTTTTTTGATTTATTTTTGCTACTGTTGCTTTTTTTGCTTTTTTTTTTTTGTTTGTCTGCTATTTGGATTTTTTTTATCAAGTTCTCCTTTGAGGCATTTTTTTCAAATATTCTCCTTATTCTTGTGATTTTTTCCTTCATAGGAGACAATCTCATTCAGAGTAGTTCACACAAAAGCTACAAGCTGTTGAATCTGGTTTGAGTGTTTTTGGAGGGGTTTTTTGTTATTTATTTATTTTGTTTTGATTTTGGTTCTTTGCCGCCCTCATGAAATGATGTTTTTGGTGCCAATGATAACATTAGTTCGACCTGAAAAATTTTGTTTCACAAGAATTTTTCATTTGATTGCTTGCCTTTTTCTTTTTAGTCTTTTTTTTTTTCATATATAGCTGTTACGAATTATTTTTATAAATCTATTACTTTTTGTGAAAACAGTCTTTGGTAAATTTCCAATGCTCAGTCTTTATGTTACCACAGTGAAGTCAGAGAGTACTAGTTGAGTCCAGTCTCTTCTCAATGCACCTCTATAACTTGACTGGATCGATAACAACAACACCTCTATACTCTATGACTGGGAAATGTCTCTGTGGTAAAGTGGTCAGGCACTTCATTGTTCATATGCAGGAGAAGTGATTTTGATCCCTGAGTATTTAGCTTTTTTAAAAAAAAATTGTATTCAATATCTCCGTCTGCCTGCTGGGTCGCCGTATTTCTTTCAGCCCGAGTCAATCCTAACAGGCAGGGTCAAAGCAGACCACCAGCTAAATGTATTGAAAGTTTTAGCCCCTATAAATGGCAGCTTGCACCCTACGCTTCCCAGTAAGTTGAGATTGTTTCAGAAACCTATCAGATCTGTTGGGGTAACAATAAAGATTGTAAAGCACGTAGAGCTTGCTGTTGAGTGGGAATTTGTGATAATTATTATTATTATTATTATTATTATTATTATTATTATTATTATTATTATCTATATTGTGTCTGTGGGGGGCAATAACCACTGACAACTGCAATTACAAGTACACTAAACATTCCTCATAATGTCTTGTCAGATTACTCTGGGTTCTAATAGGACCAAACATTGCAATGAATTAAACCAGAACGCTTTCAGTGAAGATTTCATTTGCATTCCTTTTCCCAATTACACTTCCACAATCATCATCTGTTTTTCTCATGGCTGGCTTTTATTACATACAAAAACTCTGCTTATGAAACTCAAAGAACTTTCAAAGCAAATATTTGAAAACAAGTCAAATTCGAAATGTTCATATGTCAAATACTCCAGCATTGATTTTTCGACTCAAGTACCCTTCTCATAATATGGAGTAACATCAACAGGCTAGCCGAGGACAGAGAAAGATGGAAAGTGTTTATTCATTGTCTATGCCCTGATACAGGGTGAGAAAAGCAATGATGATGATTAGGACCCTTCTCATAGCTCAGCATGACAGGACCCCCTATTATCGGCATGCTCACATATGAGCTACCTCCAAAGACTACGTTTGTTATGTAATTAATATGTTGTATACAGATAAAGCACATTGCCCAATCGTGAAAGATTTGACTAACACACCGTGCCATCATTTAACACCAACAACAAAATGAAAATTAACAATAATATATTATGATTACACATTAAATCTAGGCTGAAGCATTGGCATGATAAGTCTTTTGATTTGTACAAACTGTTCAAGTACATACTATTGTGCTTGTGTTTGGAGTGTTAAGTTATAATGTGGTAGTTTTACACGATAAACAAGATATAAATGATAAATGAAGGAAGAGTTATGTAATGCGATGTCAATTTGTTTGATGAGAAGTAACAAATTTAGATGTGAATCTATCTTAATTAATGATACTGATGTTTCACAATTAATATTGTTTAATTTATATTTTATGCGTCATGCTTTATAATTCCGAATTTGTCAAACAATTAATTTCTTTTTAAAAATATTTTTCTTGCTATACTGCTTGTAATAAAATACATGACCTGTGTGTATGCAAGTGCCAAAACAAATACATATAAGAGACAACCTTTTAAATTGTGAAATATTATTAATGCTCACTTGACTTTAAGAACTATAAATTGGTGAAGAAATTGAAAAAACACTGTTTGATACATCTTACAAAAAAACAGCTAAATTAATGACAAAGAGAATTTTTCTCTTTGAAAGAAAAACACAAAGTACGCAAGCAGTCACACAGAAGAAACCACACTGTTATCAGATAAGACTCAGATAAAATGTGGCCCGATGTCTAACCAAACTGTAGACAAGAGCATTCAGGAGAAAAAAAGGAAACAAATCCATTATCAGTAATTCAGAGAAAAAAGATAAAAAGATTCTTCTTACAAATAGGCCTATTCTTTTCTCTCGTGCAGTTCAGAACACCCTTCCAGCAACAAGTCCAGCCAGTAAGTATCTGTAGTGTTGTCTGTTTTTATATGGGGTGGGAGGAGTAGACATTTCTCTAGGTGGATTGTCATGGGTACAAGTCATTTTGAACATCCCCCTCCCCACAAGTGAGTTCTGACACGAAGGCTAAAGTTTACTGTTACCTTATCATGTATACAGCCTTCTTGTCTCCTTTGTAGCTGTGAGTGTGAACATAAGTCCCTGTGACATTTTGCAGTATTGTTTTGAAACTAATGCTGCCGACCTTATCGACTAGTACTATCTGCGACAATCTTTTTCTTCCCAGATGGTGCCCTTATGTTCAGTTAGTAATATACCGAACTAGGGCATGGATGGTGTTGGTTCAAATCCATAGTGGGGGGGGATTATTGATCGGGAGTAGATCCGAGAGTTTTCATAGCTCTCTGTACACTTGGCCTCAAAGAATTGAAAAGTGAATTAGAGACAAGCACATTGTGAAACGAATCGTGTTAACTCTCTTATATCCTCGTACTTTTTGAGAAAATTATGAAATGAGATAAGCTTCATCTCCCAAAAATAAACCTTACATTTGAACTGTCTATATTGGCATGACAGTTGCACCATTAAAACAATCATTTTATCACTGTTATGTCTATGCACTTTTCAGGAAAATTATAACATGAACAAAGCTTCTTCTAAAAAAGTATTCCATCTTGAACAACTTACTCTCTCACTCCCAGCACCATCCAGTAAAAACTGCGGAGCAGGCTGGGAGGACGACCCCAACAGTGACAGCTGCTACCAGATCAACACAGAGCTTCTCTCCTGGCTGGATGCCAGATACGCATGTCAGTCGTCCGGAGGGGACCTGGCCACTATCTCGAACGTACAGGAGCAGTTTTATCTCTCAGGTACCTGCAGCAAGGGTTTGACTGGGATGTTATGGTTTGAGACACGCAAATGAAGTAAAAGGCTATTTTTTATTTTAATTCCCTGATGCCATGTAGGTAAAATTGTGATAGGACAATGGACAGTGCC